CCTGGATAATGAATATATGCATGCAAATCTTGAATTTAATTTCACTAGTAATGCAATCACATGCTAGAGATAATAATGTCAACGTGAAATGACTTTCATTTTTTTTTATTTTTTGACCATAGTATGTGTATTTCACTTTTTTTTTTTTTTTGTGAATAGATGTATGTTTCCTGTTCAGGCAATCATGTCCTAGTCCTAGACATGGTGGGATCAAAGAAAAAAATGAGACAGGTTCATTGATAATCTAACAAACTAAAATCACCTTGTGATATTTAAATACATTGTGAAGGATATCTAAATAATCTATATCTATATAAATTTGGGATCTTCCAATGAATACTGAGTGAACAATGACATCCACCGAATCTGCTTTTTCTCGTTTTGTTTTATTCCTGTGTGAGCTGAGCATTTTGACTTCTTTTCTTTTTTAACAATTTTTTTAGGTCGGTAGCCGTCGGATCCGAATTTTTCTTTATATATATATATATATATATTATTAATTTTTTAAATATGACATAGTAAAAATAAAAAAGATAAAGAATTACATTGGCCCTATAATAAAAGAGGAACATGTAAGACATACAAAAATTAAATTGTTAATATAAGATTTATAATTAAAAATGAGTAAAATATTTGACATTTTTTTATTTTATCTTAATCAATGATATCTCTCTTTTATTTTTTAAAACCTATATGAACATTTTTTTTAAGATAGATTGTTATAAAATACAAGCCTCTCTTTTATTTTTAATATTTTATTTTCATTCACTTAACCATCAATTGATCATTAAGTCACATGTGTTGAACTACAATGCCCCTATTTAAATATAAATATTGTCTAAAAATTATTTAAATTATCAAAAAAATAATTTTATAAATTTTTAAAAATTAAATATATAAATTGGCTAAAAAAATTCAAAGATGCAATTTATGGACCTAGTAAAAATAAAAATAAAATAAAATAATTTTTAATAATTTGGGGTAGTTAAACCAACCCAAATAAATCTGAAAACTATAGGTGTTAAGAGTTGGGCTTGACTATAAATTTTTTATATGTTTATATATTTTAAAATTTTTATGAATTGAGAATCTAATGGGAATAGAGAGAATGTAAGATTTTAATAAATTTAATTTTTTATAAATATTTGAATAGTGTGGTTTAAAAAAATAGTGTGTGAACTTAATGTTAAAAAAATGTGATTGGGAGCCTACTGTAAAAATAATAGATGTTATATATATAAAAAAAATGAGCATGGGAATTAAAATTTAATTAATAAAATTAAATTAGTAATTATTTAAAAAAATTAATTTTTTAAATTTTTTAATAGATGATTTTGTTAAAAAATAAATATAGTTACAGGACTCAATAAAAAAGTGGATATGTGATCTACCATTAAAAAATATGGGTATGGGACCAACACTTATACAAGTTAAAAATTTAGACAATATTTAAAAATATTAAGATTTTTATATTTTAAAAGATCATATAGAATTCATGGTAAAAATTAATGGTAAATATAAATTTTTTAATAAAAATAATATGTGTTACATATGCAAAGAAATTACCAACAGTAAAAAAATAATTGTAGGACCTGTAATTTACATACTATCCATAGTAAAAATTAAATGTGGATACAAGGTTCTTAGTAAAAATAATAGGTATTAGACATGTATTAAAATTAAAAGAAACATAAATGCAAATTATATTAACTAATTTATCTCTTATTTCATTAATTTTTTTTGCAAATATGTGTTTAAAATATTATTTTAGTAAACCCACTCCCTTCATTAAAAATATAAGATATTTTTTAGGAGGTATTTCTTTGGGGTTTGGATGTCAAAAAGTATGATATATTTTTAGTATTTAAAGGTGTAATTATTTCCCTTTAAAAAAATACCTCTAATAAATAAATCACTTTATATTTATTTTAAAGTTAAACATCCAATTAAATAGTAAATATAGAAAGATGGTGTTAGTTTAAAAATAAATAACTACTTTATTGAGAGATAAAATTTAATTAAAAATACTTTATATTTTTTAAAAGATGGAGTATGTATTTATTTTTAAAAAAATACTAAATAAATCAGTCTATATGACTAAAATAAAAATAAAAATTTATGAGAATATATCACAAATGGTATTTTAGCCTAACATATATGTAATTGTCAGCTAATAATTGGATAGATAAAAATAAAAATTTAAAAGTAAAAGATATACTTGTATTTTATAACTCTTAAATATTGATCTTAAGAGGGATTCACAAAGATTTAAAAAATATTTATAATTAAGATAAAATAAAAGGAAAAGTAATATATTTATTTTAAAGATACTAAAATAATTTTTTAATATTTATTTTTATTTTTATTCTTAAAAATTAAAACATTCCCACGCATCACACGGGCTATATTTGCATGGGGATGACATGTTTTAGATAAAAACAATTAATATGGGAATGATATGATATCCTTCTATTAAATTTTTAGTCTCATAATTGCCAATTGTAAAGATAATTTGGGAAAAAAAAAAAGTCATTTCTTAAATTTTAATTTACACAGGACAATACAGTTTAAAATATAATAAGTTATTATTTATATTCTTAATATGTTTGAACATAACAAATTTTAAAATAAAATATTATTTATATTTTATTTTTCTCAAATAATAAATTATAAAGTAAAATATCATTTTTAACACTATTAGGAATATTATCTTAAATATTCTAAAATATTTAATTTATTATTTATATTTATGGTCAAAAATTTTAAGTTATTAATTTATCATTATAATCTATTTGCCTATCATCTCGCTTCCTAATTTTACTTTAAGAATATTAAAATAATTTTTTTAATATTAATATTTATTTTGTAAGCATAATTGTAGGACTCAATAAAAAAATGCATGTATAACCTACAATGAAGATATACAAAAAATTTCATATTTACTTTTAAAAATTCTAATTTTTAAAATATTTTAAAATTTATAAATCATATTGCTTGCAACAAACTGTCAGTCACGATACTGAAACAATATTTTAAAAAATTAATGACTAATTATATATTTTTTAAAATCATATTTTATTATAATATATAATAGGATATTATATTTGGAATAAAATAAGTACTCTTTTATATTAACGATATAACTACATTAAATATCTTCACACTAATTAATAAAAACAATTGAAAAAAATAGTTTAACTATTATATAATTTCTTATATTTTGAATTAAAAATTATTCTTAAAATGTTTTCTACAAATAGAACCTTAAAGACTATAAGATAATAAATTTTAGAGTTTAAATATACTTTTTAAATATAATAAATTTAAAAATAAAATATTTTATTTAATTTTTTGATATGGATAGCAAATTGTAAAAATATAAATTACAAGAAATTTTTTTTGATAAACTCATCTTTTATGTAATATTTTTTTTAACTTTTAAAAATAATACAATCTAATTTTATTGTTAATAAAATTTACTTTAATTATTATTTGATTACAAAATGACCTTAAAAATTATAATATAATATATTATTATTTATTTTATTTTTTAATGTTATTAAAAAAATTTATTTTTTATTATTTTTAAATTGAATAAAACATTAGACTTCCATGCATCGAAACTAATATCTAGTTCTAACGAAAAAGTATTAAAGAAAAAGGTAGAGGTTAAAAATATAGGAGGGTATGTATCGTCTTTTGACCTTCTTTACACACACACACACACTCCTTCAAGTATTTATTATAGGGTATTTTTTAGAAGGATTTTTTAATCTTTAATATAGGTAATTGATGGACATATTAATTATAATTTTTTTAATATTAATCCTATTTAAATTTATTAACAATGAGGGAAAATGTTACACAAATTTAAAAAAAAATTTAAATAGGAGTAAAATTAAAATTTTATTCTATTTTTACAAAAATTTAATAATTTAACAATCTCTTCTTTATTCAAATGAGGGAGGTAAAAGTGTCTCAAGACTTGTTTAGTTTCTGTTTTCAAAAGAATGTTATCAGTTTTTAAAAACACAAAAAATTAAAAAAAACTGTTTAGATAAGTGTTTTGAATTTAATTTTTTTTAAATTGTTCTTATTTTTTATTTTAAAAACAAAAAAATGGAACATCTTTATTTTATTTTCATTTTATTTTTCTTGTTTTAAAAAAATACTATATTTAATTATTGAAAAATATAGTTAGCTTGACCAATTTTTTTTCATAAATCATCACAATTAGTATCAGCCTATTTTTTAGTTCAAAAATTATTTTTAAATAAGAATAATTAAATATATTTTTATTTTACTTTGTTTTGAAAAAAAAAATGGAGAAACCAAACCAAGGGCCTGTTTGTTTTTAGTTTTTTAAAAACTATTTTTTGTTTTTAAAAACACAAAAATTTAAAAACTTGTTGACATAAATGTTTTCAATTTAATTATTTTTAAAATTATTTTCATTTTTTATTATTAAAAACAAAAATAGAAACAATATTAAGTTATTTTTATTTTATTTTTCTATTTTCAAAATTCAATACATTTGATTATTAAAAATTACAGTTACCCTAACTAATTTATATCACAAATCACCATCATTAATCATCTATAACAATGATTATTGTCATTTTATTTTTAATCCTAAAACTATTTTAAATTAACATAAATAAACAAATTTTTGTTTTGTTTTAAAAAATAATTTTCGGAACTGCATTACAAAATAATTTTTAAACACAAAATGATAAATAAGTCAAACAGCACTAACAATTTTGCTTTTTTGTTTTTTTGTTTTCTTTTCCATTTCTCCCCTGCGGTTCTGCAATGTATTATTAGTTCACGTATTAATGATTACAGAGAATCCAACATCAAATTTCTCTCTTAATTTGTTGGTATATAAATAGCCACGAACACAACCATTTTCCCCTATAAGCATCTTCCTCGTCTTTCATCCATCGACTCTAATCCTCTCTCTCTCTCTCTGTTCCATTAACATCCCAAAGCCGACAACAATGGGAAGATTGCCGAAGCCCACAAAAACAGAGCAACATTCCTGTGTCAACAATAATAATCCTTGCAAAGCAACCAAATTTTCTTCTGGGATACCCACGATAGACCTCAAAATCCCCGAAGCTAAGAGCCTCATAGCGAAAGCATGCCAAGACTTCGGCTTCTTCAAGCTCACCAACCATGGAGTCCCCATGGAAGCCATCGCTGAGCTCGAGTCTCAAGCTTTCGATTTCTTCTCTCTCCCTCTTACCCTCAAACACAAAGCTGGACCTCCCAATCCATTCGGCTATGGCAACAAACATATCGGCCCAAACGGCGACGTTGGCTGGATCGAATACCTTCATCTCACCACAAACCTAGATTACAACTCTTTCAGACTCTCCCCTGTTCTTCGCACAAACCAAGAAAAATTCCAGTAAGCAAAACTAAACATCACAATCTTTATCTGTTCTCGTTCGTTCTGATGATCATTTGGGTGTTCTGTATGTATGTGTTTCAGACGTGCGTTGAGTAATTACATACCGTATGTGAGGAAGATGGCGTGTGAGGTTCTGGAATTGTTGGCTGAAGGACTCATGATTCAGCCCAGGAATGTGTGGAGCAAGATGCTGATGAACGAACAGAGTGACTCTGTTTTCAGGTTGAATCATTATCCTCCATGCCCAGAGCTTGCTGGCTCCAACAATGGCGGAAACGTGGTGGGGTTTGGAGAGCACACGGACCCACAAATCATTACTGTGTTGAGATCCAATGACGCTTCAGGACTTCAAGTTTGTCTCAGAGATGGAACTTGGGTTTCCGTGCCACCTGATCCGTCCTCCTTCTTCATCAATGTTGGAGATTCTCTCCAGGTATTATGTAATATGGACTCTGATACTGTTTTATAACATAAGCATGCAAGTTCTTGAATGCCTTGTTAATTCATTTCCTTGAAAAACCATAAAAAAAATTTGCACAGTTTTATCCCTTTAAAATAGTAAAATATGTCTTATTTTAAGTAGAATCTAATAATAAAAAATAAAAATAATAATTAAAAGATTAGGGTATTATTAAAAAATATTAGAGAGTGAAGTATTAGATGTCCCAAACTCAAAAATAGTTTTGGTTTGTTTTTAGGTAGCTTCTTAAATTAGGATGTGCAAGTGGCTTGTTTTTCCCTTCTTCTAAGTAAGATTTTTTTTTTTTTTTTTCCGGTGTAGAAGTGAAAGAATAAGATTTCTCTGAAAACTATAGAAAAAAATTGCTGTTGTTGTTGTTGGTGGTGGTGGTGTTTTGAAAAATTATCATCCATATTCTTTAAAGTCACGTGGCAACTTCATTATTTTTGAGATTTTTGTTCTATTATAAATATCAACTTAAAAAAATCATAATTAATTTACATTCCCATGACTTTAATTTCAAGAAAGGTTTTGAATTTTAAAATTATCAACTTACTTTTTTTATCTTGTTTTAACAATAACATGAAGGTGATGAGCAATGGAAGATTGAAGAGTGCAAGGCATAGGGTTATGGCAAATGGATTGAAATCAAGAGTGTCAATGATATACTTTGGTGCTCCACCCTTGAGTGAGAGAATTGCACCATTGCCTTCATTAACCAAACAAGGGAATCAACAAAGCCTTTACAAGGAATTTTCTTGGTTTGAATACAAAAAATCAGCCTATGCTTCAAGATTGTCAGATAACAGGCTTGCTCCCTTTGAGAGAATTCCTTCCTCATAATAATCCAATAATGTCACTGCAAGTTGACATTATTATTACCAAGTAGCTATCCATGTGCTTTCAGCTTCACCAAATGAGTCATACTATTTACTCTCTTTATTTAAAAATATAAAACATTTTTAATCTTTCAATGTCTTTTTTTCTAAAAGCACCCTTATTGATAATGACTTTATATTTATTATAAGATGTTTAATATGAATAAATATAACAAGATAGGGTTAGTTGAAAAATAGATAACTACTTTATTGAAGGATGAGATTCAATTAAAAATGCCTTACATTTTTTAACGGAGGGAGTATAATTATAAATAAAAAATAATTGTTTGGTTTCTATATTTTTAACTTGTTTTGGTATTAGTTTTTTTTTTGTTTACATTGCTCCTAGTCCCTTAAATTTCATTCGTCTACAACATTAGCTCATATATTTTTAAATAAAATCACAAAAGACTTAATAGTGGCTAATATGCATATATAAATTCCATTACTTTTCATTCTGACTTGTTAAGATTATATAAGCTGTATAAAAAAATGAATAGAAGATAAAAAGAAACAAGCACCACATTAAGTTAAAATCCTCAAATGCAAGATGGGTGAACCTTCAGGAGGAGGTGTGACAAGACTAGGCCAGAAAGGCAAAAAGATTAGTAGATATTTTTCTCCTGAAATGTTCAACATGTCATAATTTTATCAACTTAGTAATAGAATTGACAAAGTTATATATGTATATATAAACACCAACAAACTTAACCTGTCAGCTTAGTAGACTAGGAGCAACGATTTAAAAAAAGGGGGGGGCATAAGAACTAATATCAAAACATGCCAAAAACATAGTGACCAACAATTATATTTTCTCTATAATTCATAAATATAGTGTGAATTTCTATAAAAATTTATATATTTTTTGGTAGGTAAAATTTATGTAATTTTGTTATTAATATTTTCTTTTTATATTAGAGGCAAGGCCTAATGTATTAGTGGAGATGGATAACACTTTTCATGGTTTTATTAATAATGTGATTTTCATACCTTTCTTATTTAATTTTTTTTGATAATGTGATTTTCATACTTTTCTTATGTAATTTTTATTTAGTTATATGTGTGATTCTCCTCTAAGATTTGAAATTAATGTAAACTGTGATCTAATTAAGTAAAAAAAAATTTGTATCAGGTTGACTTTGTTATTAACGCACATATAATGAATTTAAAAAAAAAAGAACTGTACTTTTACTCTATTTCTTCATTTGGCTTCTATGATATAAGAAGATTGTAATTAAATTCTTATAATTCATTACTTGTCTTTAATTTAATTCTTTTTGATAAAGTTTTTGTCTTTCACTCAGTTATATTTGAATGATATAATTGAAATGAAATTATACTTTAATCCTAAAAGTTTAGTGATTTTTTAATTTGACATTTAATTATAGTTTGCAATTTTTCTAATTTTTACATTATAGTTTAACAAAATTTGGGTGTAATCTTTATTATTACTAGATCATTTTTAAAGTTTTTATATATGGGTAATATTTTTTTAACTTTCAGCGATATATAACAAATTACATACTAATTTTAAAGCATGATTTAAAGGAGAATGGGGGAAGCACATGAGTGATATTTATGAGAATTAATTGATGATCATGACACCCACAGGCAAAGGGACCATATTGCCGTTGGACGGCAACAAGAGGCACTTTTGCGTAACCATTCATTCAACAGTGATACGTTTCGATTTATTATTGCACTTTGCTTGGATTATTGTTGTCACCATTCGTACTTGATAGCAACCATTCAGTCTCTTCTTCTCCTACCACTTCCAATCAAATTAAACCAAATCTTAATTTCCAACATTTTCTTTTCTCTTTTATATATATATATATATATATATATTCTGTAATACTATTATCTTATCAAATTCAAGCATTCTCATGTTTAATAAATAAAAGTAATTCTCTCTAACAACTTGAGTCCACTGCTTTCAGACTTAGACCGACCTCAATAGTCAAACCGATTGAACCGTCACTCGAAAAAAAAAAAATTGGTTCAATCATTTGGCTCCATTTTGACAATTGAATTAGGTTAGCTCACTTTGAACCGAGTGGTTCTTAAAGACTTGAAGTAAAAACCTAATACTCAGAGTAGTTCAACTACTTTGACCTATTTTTAATATATATGTATACAAATATTATTTTTTATTTAATTATCATATTACTGGTTCAACTACTGGTCTAATCAGTTATACTATGAGACCCATAATCCACTAATATTTGTTGTTCATCGCACGATCAGTCTTTAAAGCATTGGTTGAGTCTGGTGTATGTATACTACCAAAAAAAAAATACTTGTTCTTAATATTCAATTATTTTTTAAATAAAATTGTCTCTGATAAAATTATACGGTGTACAATAAAAAAGAAAAAGAAGAAAGATAGTTCTCCCAAAACCATCATTGATTCTATAAGATTTTTCTTCCCTACAGCACTATTCTATTCATTCATTGTATGATTTTTTTTTAAAAAAAATGGTGGGCCGTAATGTTGCTTCAGTCATTATCAATAAAGTTCATGACAGTAATAGGTGAAGAATTAATTGGTTATTCAGGCCCAGAAGAAAAAAACCAGAGTTAATGGGTTATGGACCTGTCTCATGTACAACGTCGTCGTAAGCAATATCATTTACTACTTTCCTAAAAATCGTAACTATACAAGTTACATCGTATACCACATGTCAAATAATCTACTCTCTCCTAAATGTAATATGAAATATTTTTTAAAAATCATGCTTAATTTAAAATATATAAAATTCAATAGGTTTTATTATATTTTCAGTTTCAGTGTCAATTATACTCTTAATTTATTACTTTCTTGATTTAAAATTTAAGAAGTTTTTAGGGGAAAAAATTTGCATACTGATGAAGTTCTTGTTCCCATAAAATATATATTTTTTCCTTTTACCCCTAATCCTAATTACCCTTGCAGTCCATAATGAGCGATGTGTATTTACACAAAAATCTACGCTAATAAATACAGGGAGTAAAATAAGAAAATATTTTTTTACATGTACTAAGTTACTTATATTTTAAACTAAAATTAATTGAAAAAATGCTTATATTTTAACCTAGGGAGGAGTATATTCCATTGAAGTAATTAATGTAGTTTTGTATAAATCAACTATTATATTTATTCCACTTAATGTAGAGAAGCTCAAATCGCCATTTAAGCATTTGTTTATTTTATTTAATCTTTAAAAAACAAAAATATTTTAAATCTTTAATTAAATTTGAACTTTAAAATTTGTGTTTATATTTTAACATTAGAATTTATATTACTTAATTTTAATTTTTAATATTAAGAATCTATATTTTTAAGAAATAATATATTACAGGTAATGTCAAGGTTAATTGAGGTTAAAATATGACAGGTAATTTTTACATATTATAATACATCATATATATAAATGTGAGGTGGTGAATATGACGGGTAATGTCATATTTGGTGTCAAATATGGCGGGTATTCCCCCATTATGAACTTACCCGTCAGACGCCTCTCTCATTCTTCTTCAACGTCGTGCTTCAATCTACCATAAATCTCCATAGCCATCGCTGTCATTGTCCATTATCATTAAAGCTGTTGTTATTGTTCATCATATTTAAGATATTAATTTACATTTCTTAAAAAAATAGTTAAAATCTTATTTTTTAAAAAAAAAATTTACATCTTTCTAATCTAACGCTTAAGTGAAATATAAATATAATATTTATTAATTACTTAAGTGAGATATAATAAAATAAGGATATAATTAAAAGTATATATAAACCTACCCAATGCCTTGTATTTTATATTAAACAAGACTTTTAAAGAACACTATATTGATTAGAAGGACTATTTGATTTCAGGTCCAGATTATTAAAAAAAAAAAAGTTAACATATATTTGGAGCTTCAAACCCTCTCTCATAAGGGAAGGGATATATGCTTGAGAAAATGATAACAAATTTTTTTTAAATTACATAAATGATAATTTAATATTTCAAAATATCATAATTTTAATAAAGTCTCTTGGGGCCTTCATGTCAATAAATTATAAAGTGTAAAAAATTATTTTACCCTTGTTAAAAATTACAAGCTCCAATAATAAGTTTTGTTTAAAGAATTGTCACTTCTATTTTGTAAATTGCAAGAGTTGAATAAGAAATTATAATTTATTAAATGTAATTTCCATTATTGAAAAAAAAAAGCCCTCAATCATAACTTTTACTTAAAAAATAATAACTTTTATTCTGTGAATTGTAAGAGTTGAATAAGAAATTATAATTTATCAATATAATTTTTATTATTAAAAATAAATTCTTAAAATAATAAACTCCATTTATAATTGTTATTTAAAGAATCACATCTTTTTATTTAACAAATTCATAAAAGTGAACAAGAAATCACAACTTATCAATAAGAATAAAATAATTTTTTTAATTTAAAATTTATTAATAAAAAAGTACTTAAAGACTTTAATAGAATTATAGTATTTTGAAGAATCAAATTTTTATTTATATAATTTGAAGGAATTTTATCATTTTTCCAATATGTTTTCCTCTTTTCCTTGAACTTGTCTCTACAACCAAACGGCTCTTTTTATTGTTTGTCTATAACTTCGCTTTCAATTTTATTGCTATATGGTCACCTAATGGAAACTTCGATAGTATGGGATATACTTATGGGTCTGTTTAGCAGAAAGAACGTATTTTCATGCAAATGAAAAGGAAAGAAAAAGAAAGGGAATAAAAAAATTGTTTGATAACATAACATAATGGAATAAAAAATTGTTTGATGGGTAAATTTGTGTTTAGTAAGATGAAATCAGTGATATGATAGGGAAATAGTGAAGAGTAAATGCCTATACATATTGCCGTTAATGGTAAGAATAATAAAATGATTTTTTATTCTTATTTATAATAAATGTAAAAGCAAGTATTTATAATTACAATTATTAGTTAAATATAATAAATAATATAGAACTTTTGTCCCCCTCACATTCTGATACCTTAGGTCTTTGACCAAAAAGTAATTATTGCTGCACGTTAAACT